TTCCGAGGATTCATCCATCATGGCTAATTCTGGGGCATGGCTCTGATACCACTTGTAAGGACTATGGACACCACCTATTTCCACATTAGTATGATATTGTCCACTTTGGGTCTAAGCTCTCATGGATTTGTTCTTGGGTTATACCCAAAAGGTTTCATATCAATGGAGATATTTGTCCATCCTTATATACCCTTGATTCTCCTCATTTCTAACTAATGTGGGACTTTGGTCGCATACCTAACAAAAACTATAAAAAAACACCCCTTAAAAGGATATTATTTTGATATTTTTTAAGAAAAAATAATTAATACAATATTTTCAATTATATTACTAAATATAGATTTAAATAGCGTGATTCATTTATTTTTAGCTGGCAAGTGATACATATTTTAATTATTATTAATAAAAAAATTTATAAAAAAATTTATCTTATTAAATTTTTTTTAATAATTTTATAAATATTATTATTAGAATTTTAATATGTTTTTAATTTTTTTTGCTTATTTTTCCCCTCCTTTCTTCGTAAAGTTTATAAAACCAATTTTTATGTATTTTTGAAATAGTCGTATTGGTATGAGAATTTAAAAAAACTTCCGAGTGAAAAATGTTACTTATATTAAATTAGATTAATTTTAAAATCATTTTCTGTTTGTGTTAATTTACTAATTAAAAAAAAACAAAAAAAATTGTGATTTATTTCTTATAAAAAACTTCCCATCTTATAGCATTGGATTTGGATAAAGTTACTTTCAAAATTCGTGCATAGAATATGTTCTTTCTAATATTCCGATCAATGGCCATCCAATGGGCTTCTTGTAACCATCATCAATCCAATATTGGAGATAAGGTTTACAGAATGGCACCTGATGCCATCATTATTGGCCTATAGAAAGACACGTGGACATCCAAACTACTAAGGGCCAATCACCACCATGGGAGCAAGTCCATTTGTGCAGCACAGTTTCTCTGTTTCGCCCTGTTTTGCATTGGGTTCTAAATAGGAATTGATTAAATTTTGAAATTTTTTATTTATTTCAAATTTTTTATTTATAATTTTAGATTATTTTGATATACAGATATAAAAAATTATTTTTAATTAAAATATACTTTAAAAAATATATAGTATTGCAATTTAAATATATTTGATACGATTGTCCGACAAAAACAAGGCCAGCAACTGCATTGTCTATTAAAAAAAGAAAAAAGAAAAAAGAAATATTTGTCTTAAACGACACACACAAGGCATTGGTATTAATTAAATTATTCTATTAATTTACTAACGGTCATATACAACTAGATATACTAACGAGATTGAAACAGACATGTTTTGCGCAGTTTCTAGCTTTAATCAAGAATTGAGAGATGTGATGCCAAGATTAGACATTGTACAGTGGAATATAAAAATCATTATGTGATCCCTCTACTTTTCTAATTCTACTCAATTAGACCTTATACTTTGAATTGGATCAAACCAACCCCTGATCTCTTCCACCATGCATTGTGGTTTTATCGGGCTAATTAGATAGACCTGAGGTTAGATTAAGAGACTCCGGTCATCTCTAGTTAGAAGCAGAGAAGATGGTAGACTCAATTTTTGAGATTCTTCATCCAATTATGTTTGTCCAGGTTGCACAATCAATGAAAGAACAATTAAAAAGAGGAAATAGAGAGGTTAATCTGACGCAATTTAAAGTTGGAGGACCACATATGATTTTTAGCACAATATGTTGTGATAAATAAGTGGCCGAGAGACGACTCTTTGGTGTATTTTTTGTATGATTAAATAAAACAATAATTCACCATAAATACTGGATCTATGGAATCTGACAACTCAGACGTGGGATGATATTACTTTCTATGCCATCAAAAAATAATAACTTGTATAAAGCATAAAAAAAAAATGCTGCAAAATTATAACATGGCTGCTTAAAAAATATTGTAAGCTTGCAAATTTGTGACGAACAATCAAATTTCTCAGATAATACAAAGCATGCATGATGCATAGTTTTAAAACCTAGTATTAACAACCCAATATTAAACTAAGCTAAATTTCAAAAAAAAAAATTGAAAATTCTGGTTGACTTAGCTACTCGGGTGTAATTTAT